CTTGGAAAGATTATGAAGGGCAAACTTTTTAAAAAAATTACAGCTGACCTTCAATGTTGTATTAGTTTCAGGTATACAGCACAGTGGTTAGACAATCATTACTTTACAAATTGATACACCCGATAATTCTAGTACCCACCTGGCACCATACATAGTTACTACAATGTTATTGACTATATTCCCTAGGTTGTACTTTACATCCCAGTGACTATTCTGTAACTACTAAATTGTACTTCTTAATCCCTTTACCTTTTTTATCCAGCCCCCCAACCCTCATTCCACATGGCAACCCTCGGTTTATTCTCTGTATCTGTGCGTCTGTTTCTGTTTTGTTTTTTTATTTTGTTTTTAGACTCCACATATAGGTGCAATCATATGGTGTTTGTCCTTTTTGATCTGACTTATTTCATTTACCATAATACCTTCTAGATATATTCATGTTGTTGCAAATGGTAAGAGTTCATTCTTTTTTATGGCCGAGTAACATTCCATTGTATATATGTATCACTAATTTATTCGATTTGTCTAAAGATGGACACTTAGATTACTTCCATATCTTGGCTATTGTAAATAATGCTGCAATGAACATAGGGGTGCAAATATTCCTTGAAATTAGTGTTTTAAATTTCTTCAGATAAATACACAGAAGTGGAATCACTAGGTCATAAGGCAGTTTCATTTAAATTTTTTCAGGAACCTCAACACTGTTTTCCATAGTGGCTGCACCAATTTGCATTCCCACCAGCAGTGCATGAGGGTTCCCTTTGAGAGAGAAGCCATTTAAAAGCAGTAGTGGTCTTATTCGGATCAGTCATTCCTAACAAAAATAAGCAGCTCCAATAAAAGTTTCTAATAATAACTGTTATCCAAATTTACATACATTCAGAAGTTGAGATGGAGAAATTATGTCACTTTCCTGAAGCTACATAGCAAGTTAAGAATCCATATAGGATGAGAACTTAACTTACTCATTCATGTTAATTTCAGATTTACCTCACCTACTGAAAGTCTATGAAGGCAGGAGAAAAGAGCTGTCTGTAATCATTGAATTTAGAATTCCCCTGCTCTCCGGCCTGATTCTTTTGTGGTTATGAACTGTCAGGAGAACTTTCAAGGTCACACTATTTGCTGTATGGCAGACCTTTGGTTCTTCTAAGCTTCATGATTTCAGCTTGATCCTTAGTTTTGCTCAAGTCCAAGAGATCCTGATGATAAGCTCTTGCTGACTGAAACAATGAGAAAGTAAACAGCAATATTAAAGTTACTGTTAGGCCTGGCTGGGGTGGCTCAGTGGGTTGAGTGTGGTCCCATGAACCAAGAGGTCACTGGTTTAATTCCCAGTCAGGACACATGCCTGGGTTGCAGGCTTGATCCCCAGTCGTGGGTGTGCAAAAGGCAGCCGATCGATGTTTCTCTCTCATCGATGTTTCTGTCTCTTTCTCTCCCTTCTTCTCTGTGAAATAAATAAAAACATATTTTAAAAGATAATGTAGTTACTGTTAGAATAATACATATTTATATTTGAAGTGCAATTGTTGCAATAAGGCTGTTCCTATTTCCCTTCATCACACAATTTGGACTGCTTTCTGAACTTTGTTCCCTCTTCAAGACTGCCCTTAATTTAATTCATTCAAATAATATTTATCAATTGTCCACTGTGTGCTGGGCACGGTATAGACTCTAGATAACAAATGATGTCAGAGTGAAAAGGGGAAGGGATTAGGAAGTACAAATTGGCAATTACAAAATAGTCACGGGGATGTGAAGTACAGCATAGGGAATACAGTGAATAATATTGTAATAACTGCGTATGCTGTCAGGTGGGTGCTAGATTTATGGGGGAATGTTTCATGAGTTATATAAATGTCTAACCGTTATGCTGTACAAACTGAAATTAATCTAACATTGAACATCAGCTGTAAGTGAAAAAAGAAATTGTTTAATGACACGCAGAAGAGACTCAGCCTCTGTCCGTGGGCAGCAACAGGCCAGTGAGGAAAACAGCCATTTAAAAAATATCATATAAACAACAAACAACACAGAAACATGCACACACAATCAACTGGGAAGTGCTATGAAGGAAAAGGTCATTATTCAGTGAACAATAATAGTGAGAAGCTGGGTTATAATGGGAGGACAAGGAAGGCTTTTGCAGAAGAAGTAAGCTTTTACCTGAGAAGTGAAGGATGATGTGCACGGGTATGTGTGGAAAGAGTCCTCGATTTAAAAGAATAGCTTGAGCAAAGAGCTAAGAGAGAAAAATAATTATTTCCCCAGATTGAACATGACTCAGCTTATTTCAATAGGAAGGTCTGCACTCAGAAGGGCAGTGCATCTGAACTACTCACGTCTAATACTGCAATATATGTGGTATACTTTATCATTTTATTCCATAGTTTAAGCCACACTTATTTATGATGGTTTAGAACTCCTCACAACATAAAATGTGTGTCTTGTGCTTTTACAACCTTAGTGTAGTGTTATTAACATAAATGCTTTACGCTTATGATTTGTTGGAGTTCTCATGAGCATTAAGACCAGATACCAAAGTGTACAATGCACATGTGTATTCTCACAATGGAGCTTGAAAACTCACTCCTGTTGGGCCATCCTGTAAGGAACAAGAGAAACAGCCATTTTAAAAATATTTAAATTGTAGATTTATAAAATGTCAGAAATCATTTCGTCCTAACGTCTTATGTTCTCTTGAGGAAAAATACACCAGAAAGACAAAACAAACTTGCTGCTCTCTTTTATAAACCTTTGTTATGATGTAGAGTTTGTCCCAGCAGTTTTTCGCATTTTCCCTCCTTTATATTCTGAATAGAGTCTTTTGAAAATGGAGATCAGTGATAACAGTGCTATTTCACTGCTAGCTGTAATTTGTCAAACATAGCTCTATTCTGCTCTGAGAACAACTTCAGGAAGGAAGCAAAAAATGTGGTCATGGTTTTAAAAAATTTAGCATCTTATTTACACATAACTTTGTCAGAGAGAAGATTAGCTATGTGCACATTTACATTCACTCTGTTATTTATTTATTTATTTATTTATTTATTTATTTATTTATTTATATCTTCACCTGAAGATATTTTTTAATTTCTTTTCAGAGAGAAAAAGAGAGATACATCAATGTGAGTGGGACACATAGACTGGCTACTTCCCACACAACCCTTGCCAGGGCCTGGACTGAACCACAACCAAGGTACATGCCCTTGACTGGAATCGAACCCGAGACTCTCTGGTTTGCCGGGCGATGCGCTAACCACGGAGCAACCAGTTAGGGCAACTCCCTTGTTTCTCTCCTGTTTTTTAGTACTAAAAATACATATTTGTGACTTCTATATTTACATTTGTGCAAGGCAGAGTAAGGACTCAAGAAGAAACATTATCCTAAATAAGCAAAACCACTTCTTATAGTGTCTTAAGTCCCCGCATTGCCTATACGCTAATATTCAACATCTGCCTCTTTAATATTGGATGCAAGACACTTTACAAGTCAGCCTAGCTGCAATTATAGCTTTCTTCCCCATCTCTCCTCTAATCCAACTTTATTTAATCAATTGTTATTCCCCAAACATGCCATGTCCTACTAAGCTGTATGCCGTTCTCAGCAATGTGTTTTGGTGTTAAAGCTTAATGCCCCATCCATATCATTTTATATGCTAGTGTCCTTGGCCCAAGGCAAAATAAATTGCTGATTTATTTATGTTCCCTAATACTTCTGGAACCATTGTTATATTACTTATCTGTTTTATACAATCTTTACTTATATTTTGTCTTCCCAACTATATTAACTTCCTCAAGAAAGTTAATTATAGACACATCCCATATTTTCTTTAGTTGTGTGTCTCCTATAGAGCCTAACTCAGTGCCTGGTATACAAGAAGCACTCAAGAAGTGTCTGTTAGATGGCCAGTAGGAATATAAAAAGGTGCTTAACATCACTAATTGTCAGGGAAGTGAAAATTAAAGCCACAATGAGATGTCACCTCACCCCTGTCAGAATGGCTATCATCAATAAATCCACAAATGACAAGTGTTGGCAAAGATGTGGAGAGAAGAGAACTCTCGTATACTGCTGGTGAGAATGCAGATCGGTGCAACCACTGTGTAAAACAACATGGTGGTTCCTCAAAAAATTAAAAATAAAATTGCCTTTTGACCCAGTGATTCCACTTATAGATATTTATCCCAAGAAACACAAAACACTAATTTGAAAAAATGCATGACCCTATGTTCATTGCAGCATTATTTCCAATAACCAAGCTATGGAGGCAACCCAAGTGCCCACGATAGATGAGTGGATAAAAAAGTAGTGGTACATATATACAATAGAATATCATTGGCCATAAAAAGAATGAAATCTTACCCTTTGCAACAGCATAAACGGACCTAGAGGGTATTATGCTCAGTGAGATAAGTCACTCAGAGAAAGACAAATACCATATGATTTTACTTATATGTAGAATCTAAAGAAGAGAATAAATGAACCAACAAAATTCAGACAGACACAGTAAGTGCACTGGTGGTAGCCAGAGGAAAGAGAGGTTGGGACACTGGATGAAAAAGGTGAAGGGATTAAGAAGTACAAATGGATAGCTACAGAATATTGTAGTACTTATGTATGGTGCCAGGTGGGTACTGGAATATAAGGGAATCGCTTTGTAAAGCATGTGATTGTCTAACCACTATGCTGTACACCTGAAACCACTACAAATTAATATTGTATGTAAACTGTAATTGAAAAGTTAAAATTTAAATTTTAAAAAGTGTTCAATTAAGTTTAGTAGAATTCTAGATCTATTTCATGTAATAGATCATTTCCATCACTTGGATTTTTCCCATTTAACCTGCATACACACCAAACCAGCATTTAGAGCAATTTGATTACAGAGCATAATTCTCTCCAATGGGTGGGACATCTAATCAGTCTTGCCCATTTTTTTTCTCTTGCAATGTCATTGGTGAGCCTGTAAAATGCAGTCCACACACAGAGCAGCCTCTCTGTGTTTATCAACCCCGCACAGTCTGTGAAGCCTGCAGTGAGCCTCTGTCCTTGGCCACAAACATGACGTCCCCATTCCCTTTCCTGGCCATTATTCTGGAGGTTGCCATTATTGCTTTATTTGGATTATTTGTTGGGGATGAACAGGATCAGAACAATTACCAGCAACCCAACAGCACCAAGTCAACGGCTGTGGACGGATTCCTTGAGTTATACCCTCGTGAGTAGGCAATCTACTTCTTATACATTGTAGGTGCTCCAGGTTCTCAGAATGTGAAATCCTTAACTTTTTTGACTACTGTAACCACTTGAGCTCCACATTGGAGCCTCTTCTAAAATTATATAATAGTTATGAGCACTAAGGGTATTATAAGTGAATGCTGTAGTATCTGTTCTCTGTAATTACTATGTTTGGATAGAGTATGTGACTATTGAAATATTAGAACAAAAAGCCCAAAATTTAAATAATTGATCAAGTTTTTCTATATTGCCTACTTTCTGCTAAATGACCTTATTTTTCCTTTGATGTAGTCATTAGGTCTGCAAAGTATAAAAATATCACTTTCCACTAAAATAAATAAATAAATAGCCAAAGCTATCTTTGGAGAAGAGAAAGTAGAAACAAATTGGAGTATTTAGAAGAGGAGCCAGGATTTCATGTGGGGGACCTATGTTATAAAGAGTTTTTAGGGTTATATATTATGTAAATAGAGGATTTTTAATTGAAATGAATGTGCTCATGGTTTGAAAATATTGTGAAAGGAAAGTTTATTGGAAATGAGAAGTGTGACCACTCACCAATTTATTTTTTTGTTTTTTTCTTCTTAACTTTTTTATTAATTTGTTTTTGTTACAAATGGTTCTGCTTTTTCCCCCATTGACACCCTCCTCCCCATCCCCCCTGCCCCATCCCCAGCCTTGTTGTCTATGCTCATTGGTTATGTATACATGCATATAAGTTCTGTGGTTTATCTCTTCCCCCCCATCCCCTCCTCCACTGAGGTTTGTCAGTCTATACCCCACCTCTATGTCTCTGGGTCAATTTTGTTTATCAGTTTGTTTAGTTCATTATATTCCACAAATAAGTGAGAGTATGTGATATTTGTCTCTCTCTGCTTGGCTTGTTTCACTTAGCATAATACTCTCTAGGTCCTTCCATGTTGTCTCAAAGGATAAGAGATCTTTCTTTGTTACCGCTGCATAGTACTCCATTGTGTATATGTACCACAGCTTTTTAATCCACTTGTCCACTGATGGACACTTGTGTTGTTTCCAGATCTTCACTATTGTAAATAGCACTGCTATGAACATAGGGGCACATATATTCTTTCTGATTGGTGTTGCCACTTACCATTTTAAAAGCAGAATCCTTCCTTGAAGATGGTGACAGAGGAAAGGCAGAATTTAGTTCAACTTTGGAAGAGCAGCTTGAAATAGTTAACAGGACAATAATGACCACCATGCATGCACTGATGGTCTATGAGGAAGCAGGCCTGTTTGCTACCTCATTAACCTTGAAGACAGGTGGCAATATATTTTTATAATCTAGATTTTATTTGTTTTTTAAACCCTCACCTAAGGATATTTTTTCATTTATCTTTAGGTAGAGTGGGAGGGGGAGAGAGAGAGAGAAATATCAATTGGTTGCCTCCTGCATGACTCTGGCCAGGGCCGGAAACAAACCGAAACCAAGGGATGTGTCCTTGACTGGATTCGAACCAGCGACTTTTTGGTCTGCGGGTCGACGCTCTAACCACCAAGCCAAACCGGCTGGGGTTAGATCATTTAGTTTTTAAATGAGGCTCAAATAATTTTATATAGTTAAAATTATTTAAAATGGTAGCAATAACTATTATAGTTTTATAAAAAATGTGTAAGCTTTTTAAAAACAATTTGCAGCCCTGGCCGGTTTGGCTCAGTGGTTAGAATGTCATCCTGTGGACCAATGAGTCCCAGTTTTAATTCTGGCCAAGGGCACATACCTCGGTTGTTGTTTGTCTCCAGCCCCGGCTGGGGTTGTACAAAAGGCAACCAATCGATGTGTCCCTCTCACATTGATGTTTCTCTCTTTCTCCCTCTCTCACTCCCTCTCTATCTGAAAATAAACAGACAAATATCCTCAGGTGAGGATTAAAAATTAATAATAATAAAATGAAAACAATTTGCACTTGTTTTCTCATTTCTACACATTTGGAGGGAGTTTATAAAGTGGGGGGTATTCTCATGTGGAAACAATTTAGAGCTAAATGACTCAGCCAAAATGCACAATTTTAAGCCAGGAATTAGAACCCTAAGTTGGACAGTCAGACTCATCTAGTTCTATCTGCACTCCACAGATGTCCCAGAAGGTTCTTGATTAAATAATTTTATAATTTTCAAGCTAGAGAGAAACAGAACAGAATTCTGTTCTAATCTATAAGCTTTGGTACATTTCAATTATTCATCTCATAAATATTTTTATTCCATACCAAGCATGTCCTACATCAAACTTATTCAAAGATAAACAGCTATTATCTCTTTATTCTAAGACCCTGCTGTTTGGTCCACATGTAAACAAAGAGCTACAACACAGAATAAGAAACAAAGTGCCAAACTATGGTCTAAGATGAGTGCTAATGAGATAAAGTTATCTTAAGAGCTTCATAATGTGCATACATCAAAGGGAGTTCTCTGAGTTCCAGCATGGAATTTCTCAGGTACACCTTCAATTCAGAATTTGAGCAAATAAAATAAATTGGAGAGAATTACTGAACATGGTCTTTTTTTCAATTGCCTACCAATCATATCGCCTTTATACTCTCCTTGGAAGAATCATGAAAATGAGTCCATTTCATGATTCATTAAGAAAATATTTATCAAGCTCCCAATTCTTGTAAAGCAAGGCTCTAGACAATGAATAAAACAAAATTGACAAACAAGCAAAGTCAATGCCCTTATGAAGTTTACCTTCCAGTGAGGAAGACAAACTATAAACATGAAAGCTTATATCTCTATAATTTAATAGTTTTATTTATAAAAATAATTATATTTAAATGTTATATTTTTTAATTTTTTTTTAAATTGATTTTTAGAGAGAGAGGAAGTGAGAGAGAGAGAGAGATAGAAACATCGATGAGAGAGAACATTGATTGGCCGCCTCCTACATGCCCCCCACTGGGGATTGGGCCCACAACCTGGGCATGTGCCCTGACCGGGAATCGAACTGGCGACCTCTGAGTGCATGTGTCGATGCTCAACCACTGAACCACACTGGTTGGGCAATTTATATATATATAAAACTCATATTTAGATGGTTATATATATATATATATATATATATATATATATATATATAACTCATATTTAGATGGTAATAAAATGCCAAAGCAATAAATGAAATGGTATTAATGAAACAGATACATCTGGACAAGGGAGGATATCTTTTCAACCTTTTGCAATCAGGGTAGTATAAAAGAATTAAGTCTTAGTAGCCCAAAGTATCCATTGCCTGCAATTAATTCACTTCTATCGTATGCATCTAGAATGATACTAATCCTGTACTGTATTTGAAAGAATTATAAAATAGTCGTTTAAATTGTTTTGCTGTTATGTGGTTTAAATAAGAAATCTGGTTGAGATAGGCAGTTAATGGACAATCTATATCAGCAATTTTCAACTGGTGTGTTGCAAGCCACACACTAGTGGGCTGCAAGAATTTTTAAAACCTGTAATACCTGAATATTTCCTCAGGGACACTGACCTCTTTTCCCTTAGATTGTCAAATGAAAAAATGACAACAGCCAGCACAGCAATAACCATCTTTTGTGAATAGTCTGTCTTGAACTATAAATACATAGGTTATACAATAAAATTGCATCTTATTGATCCCATTGCTTATTAAGTTTGCGTCTGATTGGTTAATTCTTGGTACCAGAAATCCTCATTGTATTATACAAGTATAGGCAGTGGATTATTTAAAAAGACACTTTGGCCATGGCTGGTTTGGCTCAGCGGTTGGAGCGTCGGCCTGAGGTCTGGAGAGACCCCGGGTTCGGTTCCCGCTAGGGGCATGTACCTTGATTGCGGTTTGTCCCTGGTCCTGGTTGGTCGTGCGGGTGGCAGCCACTCAGTGTGTCCCTTTCACATCGATGTTTCTCTCTCTCTCTCTCTCTCTCTCTCTCTCTCTCTCTCTCTCCCCTTCCCACTCTATCTGAACAAAAAAGTGAAGAGAATGTCCTCAGATGAGGATAAAATAATAATAATAATGATAAAAAAAAGGCATTTTGGAGCAAAAAGGGTGGTAATTACTATTATTATAATTTTTCTTTTATTTGTTTTGTAAATCAATCAATATTATAAACTATTATTTTCTAAATTGGCAAATATATATATGTGCATATATATATGTATATATATATACATATATATAGTGTGTGTGTGTGCTACAAAATTTTAGTGATTAGCTTATGTGTGCCATGAGATGAAAAAGGTTGAAAATTGCTGGTCTAAATAGTTTCCTGATATGCAGTGACCGAAAATATAATTGAAATAAGCAATAGAGTAAACCATGTGGATATTGAGATAAAACCACTTTACGTGGCAGAAGTAGCAAGTGCAAAGGCACTGGGGTATGTAATATTTGTTGTGAGCAAGCGGTGAGAATAAAGTTGTAGGTGTGAGAGCCTGGGTGCTGCAGCACCTTGTAGACCATTGTAAGCACATTGTTTTGTTCTGAGCTGAGAAGCCACTTGAGAGGAGGACCCGATATGACTTAGGTTTTAAAATAATTTTTCTGGCTGTTAAGTAGAAAATAGATTGTAGCAGGCAAAGGGGATGAGTAGAAAGACATGGTAGGAAGACAATCCAGTCATCCTGCAGAGAAATTATAGTAGGCTGCACCAAGGCAGTAGCCGAGGAAGCACTGTGAAATGGTCAGATGCTGGCTATGATTTCAAACTGTAGCTAGCAGGATTCTCTGATATATCAGCTGTGTCAAACATAAAAAAAGAAAAAAAAAAAAAAAAAAAGGAGGAATCTGCCCTGGCTGGTTTGGCTCAGCAGTTGGAGCTTTCGCCCATGGACCAAATAGTTATGGGTTCAATTCTGGTCAAGGGCACATACCTTGGTTGCAGTTTAGTCCCTGACCCTGGTCAAGGTCATGTGGGAGGCTACCAGTTGATGTGTCTCTCTCACATCAATGTTTCTCTCTCTCTCTCTCTCTCTCTCTCTCTCTCTCTCTCT